CAGTGACTTGTCACACAATCGAAATAGAGTGCTATTTTGTCTCATTTAAAATGAATACAATGCCTGCGAAAAACAGTAGTTGTGAAATTGTTCAAATGTATTGGTATATTGTAAATTTACCAGTGGTTAAAATATCTATTGGTATTTTCATACAATCGTCACTACGACAACATAGTTGACACTTGTTTTGGCGCGATGGAACAAATGTCAACTGCGCTGCTTTAGTGACCATTTTATGATAGCAGCGTCCAATTAAAAACTTCGCTCTTGTGTGCATATTAGTAGATTTTTTTACCTTTTCACTCTCAATCGTTTTTTTTTTCAATTGCGTATGCAATTGCATCAACGCATCACGTGTGTTGAACAGTAATCTTAAAATATTCGCACCTAATGGAACTTTAACAATTGATTACTTTTTCTACTATTTTACAGATATGGTAGTTTTCGATAATTCCTATAGTTACTTCAAAAACAAGCGAATCCGTTATTCTGTTATACTGACGGCGCCAGTGTGTGTGGACGAGTTGGAAAAAGGCGCAGCCAAACTAGAAGTTTGTGAATAAAACACAATACATGCAAATACAGTCATGCCGCATGCTATCCTGTCCATTGTCTATCCTGTTACGTTTGACCTTTATTTCTCTTTTTACTCATTTCATGCGTATAATTATTGTTTTTCTTTGGGCTTTCTGTTGAACATATACACTAGCACAAAGAATTTTTATAAAAGTTTTCTATGTTTTTTGAACTGTTTGTAATTTTTTGTTTAATTTTTATTTATTTTTTAATTATTTTTTCAAAAAAAAAAATGATATCGAAAATCTGCATTTCATAGCACATGTTGTAGAGAAAAACATTACAAATAAATATAAATTCCGAAAATAACAAACAAACGGTTGTTTTTTCTCATTTGCAGAGTCTCAGACTTTACTCGTTTTGATATCAAAGTCAAGTTTTACAAAAACATAGAAAGAAAAAGAAAACACTTGTATATTTACATTTATTTCTTGTATAGTGAAAATCAATTTTTTTGACAATAATTTTTCAAGGAATAAATGTTGCATTTTCAACGATACAGTTTATATTTGCGTTCTTTAAATTTGGCAATGCAACATTGAGGTGAGGAGGGAGAGTACCTTATTGATTTTAAGGTATTCACAATTTTCATCACATAAAATATTTGTTTCTTTGCCATTTAATTTTGTTGTTTTTTAATAAAAGTTGTGCATTTGTCATTGTAGGTTAATGTCTGATTTGTTCATTATTAAGTAATAAATTTAATGGCTAATCACTTGAAGCATTGATATTTTTAAATTATATGCCAAATGTGAGATATCTACAATGGAATCGACCATTTCTTGTACTGCTGTAACTGATGGAAATTGTTGAGCAGCTTTTTTCGTTTTTGTAACGCATGTTTTCAATGCATCCGATAACGAATCAGCATACTCCAGTATGCGAAGTTTAACATCTTGTTTCGTTAAATTTCGATGCAAAATATCGGCGATTGTCACAATGTTGTGTGCACTTAGAATAACAAATTTTCCATAAGCAAGGAAAAATTTCGGTGGTTGATTTCGTTCAACCGTTTGTAAAAATGCGTCAATTGCTTGCGTTAGATATTTCATGTGCGTTACAGTTTGCATGGCATAGTATGTGAGCAGTGATTTATCGTTGGGATTCAACTCAGTCTTATCGGTATTTGAAATGGCGGCCATTTCAGCACATTGCATTGTACTATCAAAATTGGCGCGTAATTCATGTGGCAATGCATCACGTAGTTGGGCATTTATTTTGGTCGTTTGCTCTTTAGATTCCAAACTAACATAATCGTAATCTTCAAGCCAGAGAGAGCTACCAGAGCCATTGGCATCATTCGATTTATTCAACGTTCGTTTGAAGAGAAGCATTGAATTTCCTTGAATGAACGATGTGATCTGTCGTACATCTTCGGTTAGTGTTTGCGCACATGCAATTAGCTGATTCAGATTATCACCGGGTTTATTATCGTCCTCTTTACCCAATATATCAACTGTCCATCCATGCAAATCGAGATTTTGTGACACCTCGTGCACCAATTTATCAGCATCACGTACCTAAAGAGAGAAACACGAAAGAAAAGAACAAATAATAAAAAAAAAATTGTGAATAGAAAGTATTCAATTCATATGTGAAATAATTCCTAATTATATATGACGTCAATCAATTATTATGATAACTTATATTTATATATATGTTTAGGACAGACATTATATTGAGATAATTTCAACCAGATGAATCAGCTCAGCCAGATATCGTCAAGAGCTGAAATGGAGTGAAAACAATAAAAGTGATTGTTTTAGTAACCATAACAATCACTTCTATTGTTTTCACTCAATTTCAGCGCCTGACGATATTTGGCTGAGCTGATTCATTTGGCTGAAAATATCACAATATAATGTCTCGTTATGGATAAGCAAGTAATAAAAATTGCTTGAGCAAAGAACATTACTTAAATTTGAGATTTGGTAGTGTAATCAATCCTGTGGAAGAAAAAAATGATTACTATTTCTAGTACTTTTTAACCACGTCCACTACTATATAATGTAGTTTATGTAAGCGTATCGTGCTTTAATTTTTGATTTTTTGGGGTCATAATGACAATGGCGGAATGGTCGAAAATATTTTTTTTTTTGTATTCCTTGCAGCATTTCTGTCGCGAAGGAATACAACCAACAAGGAAGTTGGTTGTTTGCATTTCGTTTCTTGCTTCTGGATGTCCTTGTCGATGTACATCGGATGCCGTTGTTCACATGCAATGCACTTATGTCCCTACTACTACTACTACTACTACTACTACTACTACTACTACCAAATCTAAATTTTTCAGCAATTTGTTTGCGGTCGCAACTTTTATTATTTTATATGTGTGAGATCAAGCTATATAGTTTTTTTTACATTTTAATAGTTTTCAATCATATCTCACTCATTCATTATCAGAGTATCCTGATTTGCTGCTGCTCAGCATATTACTGAGAGCTGAGAAATGCTGAGCTCGTGCGGCTAACGCATATGAAACGGATGCACGATACATATTCCCCTTTCGCTTCGTATGTGCTGCCGTTGACGCTATTGCCAGTACAACGGTAACACACTATACCAGCGAACATACGAAGTGAAAGGGGAATATGTATCGTGCATCCGTTTCGTATGCGTTAGACGTACACTTTCAGAATATATGAAAGACTGAGAGCAATAACAGCACGTCGCATCTCATCTCTTGCTTTCAATTACGTAAGCAAAATAACGAGGGATGCGACGTGATGTTTTTCTCGCAGCTTCTCATATGTCGGTCGCAACACAATTTCAAACTCAACTGGTTACTAAGTTTTGAGTTTTGAATTGAACGTCCAATCAACTGTTTATAACCGTTTAAACGAGGAGAATGCATGTGTGCGTGCCATCCGTTTCGTATGCGTTAGCCGCACGAGTTCAGCATTTCTCAGCTCTCAGCTATATGCTGAGCAGCAGCAAATCAAGATGCTCTGTTCATTATCCCAGACACACTCTCTCTATCTCACATACATTCTGTTTTCATTGTCATCATTTAGAAATATCATAATACATGTTAGAATTAATGTATAAATGTGAATGAAGATAATGAATATAATTAAAAAAGAATGAGCTACTGAATCGAATTTGACCATAACGTACCGCTTTCACCAGTGGTTTTAATTTAATGGCAAGTCTCTTATCATCCGCTTTCAAAGCATTGCCCAATGCACCCTCTCCGAATTCGGCCAAATCGTGTAAAACTGTTCGTAAGCGCACAGCGGCTAGTTTAATATCCATGATCATTGGTTCCAATTTTTCTTTGGTGCGCCAGCTGGTTGACACAAATCCTAACAATCTGAAAAAGATAATAGTTTAGATCAAGGTTTAGATTTAGCATTTAAAACCAATATAAAGAATTTATTATAATTTCGAATTTATTTACTTGTTTATTGCACCAGCTGCTTCAGTTTCTAGTTTGGCAAGAGTCTCCAAGGCTGAAGACAATTCCAATGGCAACTCTTTAATTGTGCTCACTTTCGGTTGATTTGAAAGGGGAATGTCATAAGTACTTTGGAAGTGAATTGATGAGCTATCAGATCGAATTTGACATTGAAAACGCCGCGGTATATCATAGTCTGGCATATTCGCCAATGATGATCGATTCGATGACGATATGCTGTGACCATCCGGTGTTAGCAATGATGAATTTGAGCTGCTCGGTGTCATATTCTGTTGGGATAGCATTGCAACTGATCGTGGTACATCATATGATTCTTCCATTCTACTGCTAAATTGTGATGTTCGAGTCCAATGCGGTGAATCATAGTTCATACTCTGAACGGGTCGTGGTGTATCATATGTTTCGGAATCAGACATAATAGATAATGTTTGGTGTGGACTGCTTAAATAATTTGGTGTTTTCGGCTGTAGATCATATAAATATATGTCGCCACACTTTTGCGGTGTTACAACCTAATCGAAAAAGATAAATAGAAAATATACAATGACGTCTTCAAATATGCAATGAGAATTCTTTCCTCAGAAATCAAATAGATTTTTTTAAATCTACAGTTGGTTAGGATAGCGCCAAAACACAAACGCACACCCAAATTATAAATAATTATAAATCAATTGGCCAGGTGCAGAGAACAGTTAACATTAGTAACTTCGCTGTCGATTTTCTCTCTCGCCGCACTACGTAATGCCAAGCAAACCCAGAGGGAAAAATTAAGCAATATTAAAAGTTTTTAGGTTTAGATGAATTGAATGTCCGAGAATGAAAGCGAGACTTCTATTCACAACTTATTGAAATGTAATACCGCCATACAAAAAGTGCTGATCAGCAGTCGACTGTCAGCATATTTTGTATGGTGGTGTTACATTTCAATAATTTGGGAATAGAAGTCTCGCTTTCATTCTCGGGCAATCAATTCAACTATCGGTCGCATAAAACAGCACTTGGCGTGGCGCTACATCGCATTTTTTTAACATGATTTCTTAACTTTTTATTCTTAAAATTTTTCAATCGACAAACGAACAATGAAATTTTGGGATTAACATTAAGGTTTATGAGATGCTGATTTTTTGTATTTTTATGTTCCGATTTTTTTAATTGAGGAATTGAAGAAATGAGAAAAAATGGTAAGCTCTAGGTGAGATGGTGTCTCCCCTTTATCTATTTTTTGCCGTCTGAATAAAAACAATGACATATATATTTCTGTTTTTTCGTTTACTTTTCGTATATCGCAAATATGAAAACACTTTTAGTTTAATTGGATTGAAAGTCAGAACTCTTGTTTGAAAACTTGCATAAAATATTATGCTTAACGATATTTTCAAATTAAAAATTAATTAACGAAATAGTTATTGTTTTAGGTACCTCTTTCGTGGATACTAGAAAACTACTTGCTTTGCAATCGTGTCTAAAGGCAAGTCACAAATGAGAAAATAAAATATGAAGTTTTTGTTGTGACAACTATGGTTTGTATGAGCATGCGCACTTCTATCGAATCGAAACTCCATGGACGTTCAGACGGCATATTACATACAAGTGTGTGTGTGTGTGTGTGTGTGTGTGTGTGTGTGTGTGTGTGTGTGCTTATACATTTCACAAATTATAATCAAATGTAAAGGCCAAAAGAAAAGTCTAGTAAATCTTATTAATTTTGACGATAAAATAATAAATTTGAGTGTCATAAACGATGGTAATAGCAAAAAAATAGTTGTTTTTTTAATGTAAACTATGATAATTTAAAAAATAAGTACTTCAAGTATTCAAAATGCATTTCTAGTTCTTTTCACTATTTCATTTATATTTTAATTTTCTCATCTCGCTAAAAAAGGGTTGCAAGGCACTTTTTGGCATTGCTCTTTGGCTAAACCATAAACGAAACGTATATGGAATAAATCGTTCAAAATGTTTGCTCTCCTTTAGACATTTTTGAACTGTCCTCTTGAAATATTTTCAGCTAAAAAATGATTTACTCTCTTATCATTATTTTCAATAGGAAATAATTCATTTATAGACTGACTCTAAGTCACTTTTTTGCACAATGCAACAAAAATTGAGCATCGAAAACGAAACATAACAAATACAGTAAATCGATTGGAACGGTGGTATTCTATTATTTAACTAATACCAATTCAGCGTAAAGGATTTGGTGATTTTTGGTAGTAGCCACATGCATACAAAAACAAATAAACTGAAAATAGATAAATGTAAGAATGCTATAAAGCGAAAAATGTGAATGCGCAAAGAAAACGAAACACGCATCAAATAAAAAATTGAAACAAATATTTGTTTTCTTCTTTGTAATGCCGACTATTTCTCCTTCACTGAATTTGGTGTAACATTATACTGAAAAACCATAAATTCATTTATTTGAGCATATGCAAAAGAGGCCAACGATACAAACAGCAAATGCGGCAGTCTTCAGAGCCCAAATGAATTAAAATTTATAGTTGAGTGTCAACAATATGATTAAAAAAACGATCGACAATTTCTAGGCATGAGCGATGATGTTTTTTTTCGTTATTCTATGGCAGGTATGCCATAACTGTGCAGCATAGTGTTTTCATTCCGGCTTTAAAAAATGCGTCATGTCTGAGCATTTTTTTCTCTCTCCTTCTGCTTCTCTGATTTTGTCTGGTTTTCAATTTTGATAAGTAGACTTCGTCGTCATCTTTAGTGGTAGCATATTTTGTGTTTTGCTTAGTGCACAAAATACGATTGTTTTTTTTTT